GGAAGATTGTTGTTTGGATCTTCCCTTCTTGGCCCAGGATTATCTTTTCCTCATCCTGTGAAAATCCTGCTCCTGTCCACCCAGTGCAAGGGAAGAGGGTGCTCTGCATGTTGCGTTCCTACAGCCTGACAGTTTTTGGGACCACAGGGCCCAGGGAAGCTCCACAGGCCCCAGGCCAGAGAAGGTGTCCCTGGCCATGTTGGGGAGTCGGTAAGACCCAGCTCACCCCTACTCTTGGCTTCAGGAGATCCATAGGCCTGAGTGTCCTCATGCCTCCCACTATTCAGGGATGCCCTCCTGCCACGGTCTCATGCCCTCCACCATGGTGGCCTGTGCATCCTCAAATAAGGCTGCAGGTGGAAGGTGGGAACGTGCTGCTGTGGGTCATGGAGGAGAGGGGAGTGCACAGGATCTGCTCGCTCTCTGCCTTGGACCAAGGAGAGCCTTACCGTCCAAAGCGGTACTGTGTTCTTCCTTCTGCCGCTGTTTGCATGCAGGCAACAGCACATCTACTGGGTCTCTATAGACTGCGACCATTCAAAGCAGAGGCCAGGAGTGCAGTTGTCTGTGGCCCATGGCTCAGCTGAGCGTAGCAGGGCTCTGTGGGCTTGCACTGAACATGCACAGAAAAGGTGGTAATGCTGAATAAGGCCGTGGAGGTGCTCAAGGAAGGTGGGACAGTACTATAGCAAAAGCCCTTTGAGCTCTCCACCTTTATGTGGCCTGAGGTCATTTGCTGAGGAGTATCCAACTCCTGAATCCAAATGTAGAGATGTACGGCGTAGAGAGCACTCCCAGGAATGGAAAATCATGATGCGGGTATCTCAGTGCAGGACAATTTGAGTGTGGTGAAATCATAGTGGCAAACACATCTCCAAACGGAACTGTGTAACAGAAATACTGACTACAGGCCGAGCTTATAGTCTTGCTAAGCTGAAGATTGGCTGTGGTGGCAGCAGAGAATAAACTCCTGTCCTGTGCCTAGGAAACAATTCAAAGCGCCGGGGAGTGCGGCAAGAGCCTATCATTTTAAAACACACACAAAAGGAGTGGGTTGGGGGAAACTGAGGAAATGCACCGTCATTTGGCTTACTGTAAGCACCTCAGCTCAGGGTAAGCAGGACATTTTGGATACAAAATGTATGCAGGTGGCTTCTTCGATCTCCTGGTCAGCAGGTGGGGGTAGAGGTGAGGCAGGGAAGGCAGCCCTGGTGTCGCTGCGGGTGGGATGCTGAGCCTGTGAAATCAGCCCTCCTGCACGCTGGACTCTGGCAGGGAAGACTCTGTGTAGCTGCCCAGAAGGTGCTGCAGCCTGATGGTGTCTTGGGCAACTCTTACACCTCAGAAAGGTGCTCTGCACCTTTTCCAGAGCAATTAAATTATTGTGTTTTCCTGCTGGAAAGGTTTAATTCCTGTAAATTTTCTTGAGCCCTTCCTCTTGCCCCTTTCATGAACTGATGATGTCCACAAGAACCCCAACATGGTGGACTGTGGTCATGATATAGTTAGTTGCTACTGTGCTGGGAGGAGAGGGAGGATCCCCCAAACCCTCCCAGCGAGGAAGACTGCCAAGGACTGGAACAGAGCCACTCTCCACTCCTCTCTTACGCAGCTTCTAGTCTCCAGCGGCTCTCCTGGCACCCTCACTTCCACTTGCATTTCTCCATGTTTGTAACCTCAAGCTCTGGGCAAGAAGGGTTACTCCTCTGCCTGCTTCTGCAACCGTATGCTGCACCCTCACCGCCAGGTGAATTGGGAACGATGGTCAGGCTGGTCAGTGGTGCGGGAGGGAGGGAGGAAGGGCAGGAAGGACAGGGACTTTCATGGACTCCACTTTACAGAGGTCATGGAACAGCTTGCACTGACAAAACATTGGTTTAGGGAAAACAGGATGCCGCAGCTGGTACTCACCGGGGGGCAGGAAAAGCGTCGCCCGGATCCTCCCCTCTCGCACCGGGACTCTCCGCACCCCGTCCCGCAGGAACGCCCGCTCGTGCTGCGCCTGGGCCAGGAGCCGCCCGGGGGGGTCCCCGTGGCCCTCAAACACCTCCAGCTGCAGGAGGAAGGGGCTCTG